GTGAAAGGCAAACTGAAGAGTTCTTGCACAAATATAAGGTAATCAGGAATAAGTTGTTAACTCTTTCAACATGGTGTTTGGAGGAAATCCACTCTGGATCACCCCAGGGGCCAGAGGCACCTTTAAGCCTTTCAGAGCGGACCACGGCCCTGAGGAAGAGCCACACTCCCACCCCTCTGCTGGCACGCCATCCCCTCGTGTGACAGTTAGGTCTGACAGCAGGCAGAGACAGATGTGAGTGAATGCAGATCTTCCTGCCCCCTGGCTGGGTGACAGATGAATGGATCAGAAGGGTATTACAAACTGGCCATCTGAAATCTAGTTCTTGGTGTTCCACAGGGCACCCTTACTTGAGTGGGCTGTGCTTGCAGCTGGCTGGTCTTCACTCTCAGGTGAGGCCATCTGGTTGGTGGCCATGGCCTCTGGACTGGGATGTTCCAGCCCTCAGGGAAGGCAGGGGTACCGAGTCCAAGCCGTGGCCACTACAAGGTCGTAGCTGGACTGCCCACTGCTGCTGCAGGGTTCACAGGCCATCCAGCATATGCTGCTTCAAGTAAAGCAAGTTTTTCAAAGTCTGCCAAATAATCTGTATTCACAAGTAGCTGTTACAGAGGTGGACTCGAACCCAAAACCCAATATGAGAAGCAGCATTAATGCTAGGAATAAGCCCAACTGCCAATAAAGGAAAAATCAGAGATGCACATCAAATAATTAGGCTCTTCAATCACCCAGACAAGGAAAGACCTGCTTCTATTGCAGCCAAAAGCAATGAAGCTAAGGATTTATTAGGAAGACAAGAAAAAAAATGAAGTAAACATGAATTTTGTCTATATCCGCGTGCGCGCGTGTGTGTGTGTGAACAGCAACTTTTTATGAAGTAGTTCAGAGCTACAAGTTTTTAAAAATGATGCAGACAATGATAAGTGAATCCTTGGTATGATTTTCTGGCTTGGCTTTGAGAATTTTAATCATCCTTTGCTGAACATCCAGTAAATGATAGATCCGCATTTGGCTAGAAATCCTGTTCATCACTCATTTAGTGAGTCATCTGGTACCTGTATGTACTCTGAGGGCAAAGTCCTGACTTGAGGGAGACCCCAGTCCAATGGAAGTTTAATGAAGTAGTAATTACACATGAAATCTAACGGTGGAATTATCCCAAGGTAATGACGTAGGCCGTCTTGCAATAGCAGAAAACAAACAAACAAAAGGAAATCTGGTTCTTTCATGTTCTTGTATCGGACTTTCTATCACTTCATTCTTGTCCACTTGTAACCTCCAGCTCTAATTCCCCACGTTGCACGTAAGGAGACTGCACTGCTTTTCTTGAGACCATGTTCCACCGCACAACGCCCCGGGAAGCAGGCAGGCAGTGCAGTCGTGAAGTTGGCACTCAGCACACGCATACCCGAGGGCACCTGTTGGCTTGGTTACTCCACTGCCCACCAGATTCCTGCCAACGCTTCACCGGGAAGGCAGCAGGTGACGGCTCGACTAGCTGTAGCTGGGTCCCTGTCGCCTATGTCAGAGACCTGGATGCAGTTCCAGGTTCCCATCTTTGACCTGGTTTCCCATGGCTGTTGTTGGGCATTTGGGGCATACACCAGTGAATGAAAAAAAATCTCTTTCCATCTGTATCTTTGTAGCTTTCTCTCTGCCTTTCAAATAAAACAGAATTTTAAATTTAACAAGATTTACATTAGGAAACAAAAAGAAAAGCCCCTGGCTCATTGTAATCATCAAAATCTACTCCATATGCATCATGTCCTTAACAACCAACCAAAGGATTCCCAACGAAGCCGCACGCTATGACGCAGGCACCTACGCTGCATCTGCCTGACTTCCCTTGCTGGGAACAGGAGCAGTCCCTTCCTTCTGCAGCAAGACAACACCAGCTCTTATGCTATATCCAAGGTCACTGACAAAAATGAGGGGTCAGTAGCAAAGAATGTTGTGTGTGTGTGGATGCATATACTCATACGCTGGAGTGAACAGAGTAACTATTTCTAAAAATTAGTAAGTACAATATAAACATTGTAAACATTCATTCCTATAGAATGACATAAAATACAGTGGGGCTCATTAAAAAATATGAGTGGTTGAATTTTAAATAAGGTATCTATAGGGCTTGCTAAACCTCTAGGAATCTTACATCAGATCTACTTCTAGCTTTTGTGTTCTGTCATGGCCACTGATTGCTACTTTCTGATTTCCCAACATTTCATTCCACATTAAACACTTTATGTGCCAAAATAAATTACCAATTCAGAAACTGCCATGAAAAAGAAATCTTGTTGCCTTAAAAGAGGAATAGCTATTCAGGTTGCAGAGCATAAATCACACACTGCCATATTTATGCAAAAGGGCTAAGACCAAAGAAAGAATCTGCTTGCTTATTAAAATGCAAACATTACCTCAGTCATCCAAATAGGCTCAACCTCGCCCGCCACTGCCTCTGCAGATCACCCACCAGCACCAGCATTACATCAGATGACATTCTGGAACAATAGTGAACTCTGTGCAATGCTGGACTACATTGTCTTGGAAGAATAAACTGTCATTAACTTGAATAAAAGCTTTCTGAACTCAAACCTGGGGGGCACAGCCTTCACTGTGTGGCCCATTTTACCACTGGAAGAAACAGCCTCACCCTGAAGGCAGGAGAGGGAGGAAAAACGATCGGAGTATAAAAGGGACAGTGATGAGTGGCCTCGGCAAGAGCAGCAGGTGGAGGGCAGGGCTCTACATGACCAGGCAGAATGATGCCAACCAGGAGGCCAGGCAGCAAGCACCTCGACCCACCAGCACACGCCTACAGCCTCGCGGTTTTCATCACGGCAGTGCCACAGTACTAGACTGAGGAGTAGTCTTACACTATGCACAAAACGGATACAACTAGATACCATCTTTAACACAGACTATCACCATAGCCATGTGACTTAGAACTCAGAGCCTCAGCGTGCTCATCTATAAAATGGAAAAAAAAAATAATAGCTAACATGCAGAGGTACTCGGATTAGCTCACTGTTAATATCATAATCGCAGACACTATTTCCACCCTATTTTCATCTGCCTATCTTTTCTAAGCAAATGTCCATACGCCTCCAATTCTTTCGCTTCTAGTCAGTTAGTTATTATAAAAATTAGTCTCAGGGGCTGGTGTTATGACATAGCTGACCAAGTCACCACCTGCTGACACCCCATGTTGGAGTTCAAGTTTGAATCCTGAATAATCTACTTCTGATCTAGCTCCTTGAGAACACAGACTATGGTCCAAATACTTGGGCCCTTGCCATACGTGTGGGAAACCAGGCTGGAGCTCCAGGTTCCTGTTTGGCCTGACCCAGCACTGACTGCAGTGGCCGTTTGGAGAGCCAACCAACAGATGTAAGATCAATCTCTCCAACCCTTTCCATATCACTCTCTCAAACAAACAAACAAAAAACAAATCCTAGGAAATTATTACATATCCCTCAAAACTGTTTTGGCTTTAAACTTTTCCTAAAGCAAAGAATCGGTCACATATACCCCACACAGAACTAAAATGTAGATTATAAGAAAGAAATATTCACATGCAAACTGTGACTGTGGGCAGCTCCTGAAGGCACAGAGATGCCCTCCTTCAAATGTCCAAGGAGACAGAGGATGCCTAGTAATCTGATTGCACAAGGATATATGGATACAGAAATTTCACTAATGTTGGCTTCTTCGGAAAACTACATCATTCCCCAGAATAATCAACACTAATACCATGGGGAAAAAGAGATGTACTGCAGTGTTTTGTGAATGGGCCTAACTCTGAGGAAGAGACTGAAAGCTTGCATTTCCTCATCTGTAAAACAGAGGAAGCAGCAGGAAGAGTTCTACATGCCATTTGAAAGCACCAATGAGTTTAAGTCCAGTGAGGGAGAGTGTAACTAGTACAGGAGTGCCATGAGTGATGAAGGGTCTAGTTCAGTCTATTTGCTAGCTATCTGATCTTGCAGACGTCATTCACTTTTAATGCCAAAAAAGAAATACGTGTATAATAAAAGGCAATGTAAGTCTAGGATGTTTTGGGTTATGCTGTATGACACCACATGACTATGCCCTGGGTGTGTGTTCCCTCCAAAAAAGCATGCTGAAACTTAAGCTCCAGTCGTCTACTAGTGGGTTTGGCCGTGGGGGCTCTGGGAGGTAAATTAATTAGATGAGATCATGCAGGTGGAGCCAATGACTGCATTCGTGGTTTTATTAGAGGAAGAAGATAAACCAAACCCAACTTAGCAAGCTCTGTCTTGCCAAGAGCGACTCGCAGTCTCTATGTTTTGGACCAACAGGGAGGTTCCAGACACCAGTGCCATATTCTTGAACTTCCAGGAATATGAGACACACAGATTTCTTTTCTTTATAAGTTACCCAGTTATAGCAACAAGCAACACCCTGAGACACAGGTTAGGGAAACAGGGTCTTGTGTTCTGTATTTGGATGTACGGAGGAGGAGGGATGCTTAAGCAGAAGACACTGCTGAATTAAGAGAAACGCCTCTCCACCATCTAACAAAGACGGGTATCTCTCCCCTCAAACAGCTGCCAGCATCAATCACAAGTGTATCAGTGGTAAGGGAGGCTTTTCCTCTGGGCTTGAGCTCATCAATCCACAATCCACAGCACAAAAGAGAGCAGGGAATGACCAGCTCCAACATCTCCCTTCCTCATCTCCCTTCCTTAGCCACTATCTCCCCATTTCTGGAGCTGGGGACTCAACCGTGAACCAAACAGAAAAGGCCTGCTATGGTGCAGCTCACATCCAAGCCAAAGCAGACAGGACGCCAATCTGCAGTAGGGCAAGGGGCCGCACGGTTAAACACCACAATCAAGCAAGGCTTCGCTAAGATGCCATGAAAGCTAAAAGCCAGAAGGAGCCGAGAAGGTAAGGCACGGGACCTGTTGGGGACAGGGCGGTGGAGCCGCGGGACCTTGCAAGAGTTCAGAGTCACTGCGGCAAGAAGCAATCCTTACCTTTCAAAAGGGGCTGGAAGGTCGGAATCTCTTGGAGCTTGATGACATCAGGGTCGTTGCTGACGTTACGCGAGGCCTGAGAGCCCTGGGCTACGACCACAATATCGTCCATCTTGGCTCTGTGCTTGGCCGGAGAAGGAGCCACTGAAAGAAAGAACAACCCTGCTCAGGAGCAGCTTGCTGTAGGCCACCTCAGTCTCACCAAAGCCGCCTTCAGAGTGGTTACTACAGGGAAGTAGTCAGGACACAACGAGCTACGGCTGTGCTTCAGTGGGGGCTTGGGAGAGGTGGATTATGGGAAAGCCAATTTGGCTAAGGTATTTAAAAGACTCGCATTACAGAAAGGTTTAACACTTACCAACAGACAATTAAAATTATTGTTTTCAGCACCCACAAACACAGACGGATCTTTTTCTTTTTAAGATTTTTTTTTTTTTTGCAAAGTCAGATATACAGAGGAGAGATCTTCCATCCGTTAAATCACTCCCCAAGTGGCCACAACAGCTGGAGCTGAGCCAATCCAAACTAAGAGCCTGAAGCTGCTTTCGGGTCTCCCACTCAGGTGCAGGATCCCAAGGCTCTGAGCCGTGCTTGCCTGGTTTCCCAGGCCGCACGCAGGGAGCTGGATGAGAAGAGGAGCAGCTGGGACACAAGGTGGTACCCAAATGGGATTCCAGCGCATGTAAGGCTACCACACAAGGCCCAGATCTTGTTTTCAAATCTCTCTTTCTTGGATTTTCCTGAGCCCACCAACAACTATCCTCATTTTTAGGGAAGAGGAAATGAGGGTACAAAATTGGCTGCCAGTGTCCAAGGTTAACAATACTAGGAGTTAGCAAAGAATGGGACCGGCGTGTGGGCGTATCAAACTAGCCAGTTTGTGTCCCAGCTGCTTCACTTCCCATCCAGCTCCCTGCTTACAACCTGAGAAAGCAGCAGAGGATGACCCAAATTCTTGGGCCCCTGCAAGCATAGGGGGGACGCAGAAAGAAGCTCCTGGCTCCTGACTTAGGGTTGGTTCAGCTCCAGCTGTTACAGCCATTTGAGGGGTGAACCAGAAAATGGAAGATCTGTCTCTTCTCCTCTCTGTAAAAATCTGCCTTTCATATGAAAATAAATAAATCTTTTTTTTAAAAAAGAGGAAAGGAAATGCAGGTTGATGTACAGTCAGTGAAAACAATCCAGCCATAACGGGATAGTCAAGCTATCTCCCAGCAGGCCTGGCAAGTTTAACAGATCCCAGTCAAGAGAAAACTCATGCTCTCAAACACAGGATGGTGGGCCCACTGCCTCCAATCCCTCACCCTGAAGTTTCAACATTGATCCAACAGAGTCAGAAATAATCACCAGGCCCCATGGAAGCAAAAATCTACAGGACTGCCCGAGGCAGGTCAACTGCCCGTTCCTGCAGAGAAGGTAATCCATTTGGAGCAAAGTCATCCAAACCATGAAGGATCCTCTAGGTTGAAACAGCCTTCAAGGACCTTCTTGGTTGGGGTGTGTATCGACCTGTTCAAGGGTTTCCAGTCAGCCTCATCACAGGGTGTGATCTGAAGCTACTGCATCTTCTGGAAAAATCTTTGTCACTTGTCCTCTGAGAAAAGCTTACTCCAGGCCGTTAATCACATCTTGCCACAGCAATGCCAGAAATCTTCCCTGTTACAGACCAAGTGTGTGATTCTGCCACCGCACCTCTCCTTCAGTCCAGGGAGAGCGGGACTTAAGACTTCTTCCATAAAACAGTTAAAGAGCCAACACAAGCAGGCAGGGGATAGGCAAGCCCCAACACCAGAAGCTGGCCTTTGCTGTGGGTTCCTGCGCAAGGAAGTATATTTTTTTAAAAAGATGCCACACCCCTTCCCCCAAACTTAACTTTGGGCTCACTTGGAGACCAAAAAGTTAGGGAAAGGGGCATTATTATGGTATCTGTTATAAGAGATGGGGCTTTCTGGGACTCCCCCCCTCAAAATGCAAAATTAGTTGATGTTGTTCACCATTAAAAACTATCCTTGCAGGGTAACCCCAGAGAGGGTGAAGGCGGACCCTTAGGTCTGCTGCTACATTTTGCTTGGCAGAAATGCCCAGTAATTTTAAGGCCACCGGTGCCTGTTAGGCCCCAGGTTTGACCAATGCAGTTAACAAGCGCAGAGCTATTTTATCCATCAAGACTCCCAGCTGTCCCGGGGTCCGCAGGTAATCAAACAAGGAATAATTACATCCCAGCTGCTGCATATGGTGAACGTTCGCTCTTTTCCAAGCACTATAAAAATCCTTCCATTCCCACTTCAGAAGCTAAGACAGACACACACAGAGACCAGACAGTCTGCTGTCCCTTGTCAGCTCCTAAACACTAGAACAATGATCAAGACAGCTTCGGAGGCCAACAACAACAACAACAAAACCCACTTCCACAGGCGTTTGCACCTAAGGGTTCTGAGGTCGTGCAGCCACCGCACACGTCTGCTCAAGAGGAACTTGCCATGCTCCATTTTCAAGACAGAGCCTGTGCTTAGCGGTCCTTGTTCAGGACCCAATTCTCAGTCGGTCCGTCGCTGAGTCCTAGAGCCAAAAATTAATTAAGGCGTCTTTTCAAGAGTGGACTGCAGCTGGGACAAACGGCTGTTCGGGGAATAAATAGTGGGCAGGGCGCCCAGGCCGGTCTAGGGAATCATAAGCTTAGGGACAGATGGTCACTTTTTGTTTTGTCTTGTTTTGAATGGAAGCATGATGAGGGCTTTCCCAGGCGTGACCAGTCCGCCGTCCCGGGCCCCACTGGCCCCAGCCCGCTCCGCACGCACACAGGGCCGGCCCACGAGGGTGGCAGAAGAGGGCACCGACCTGAGGAGTTCAGATCGTTGGGTCGGCTCTCGGCCTCGGAGCTCTGCTCGCTGCCCATGGTGCCGGGCCGCAGCGGGGCCACAGCTCAGGGACCGAGGGCTGGGCAGGGGGAAGTCGGACGGGGAGGCTGAGAGCGTCCGGGCGCCGCGGAGGCCCGCGGCGAGGGGAGCGGGGAGGCCCTGTCGGGGGGAACAAGCACAGCGCGGACGCAGGCGGCTGGCCCTCCGGCCCTGGGAGAGCTCGGGCGGCCGAGGCCGTGACCACCAGCGGCTTCCGCCGGCGGGACGCGCCACTCGCACTCACTGGCTCTGGCGCCGCCGCTCGCTCCTTCCGGGACGCCTGTGGGCGACGCCGGCTACGCGCAGCCGTCACTTCCGGGTTAGGAGATCCCGCCCACCCACTCCCGCCCTGATCTGCCACCGTTGCCACGGAGACGCCGCTTTAAAGGGCCCGCAGCCTCAAAGCCAAAACCAGCCACCTTTATCCTTTGGTGCGTCGCCGTGATACTCGGCAGCTTAACGATATGTGCGTTTTAGACCCGTTTTGCTGCTGGACAGAGGTGCTAGATCCAGCATTCAAGTCCACAATGTCTGAATGCAGAGCTCTTTTTATATTTTCTATTTTCTTGAAAGCCTGAGAAGCAGACACAACAACATGGACTGGGCCTGGCAGAAACTGGAAGCTGCGTCTCAGGATGACTGAGAGTGCAGCTCATCCCGGGCTGCCACCTGAGCCAGCAGTAGTGGTAAGTGAGCGAGCTGCCATCCACTGGTTAATTCCCAAATGGCCTCAATGTCCAGCACTGGACCAAGCCAAAGCCGCGAGCCACAAGCTTCATCTGGGTCTCCCACGTGTGTGCAAGGGGCCCAAGCACTTGGGCCATCTCTTACTTCTTTCCCGAGTGCATCAGCAGGGAGGTGCACCGTCATAGTTTGGGGATGCCGGCAACACAGCAGGCAGCTTAGTGTTCTGTGCCACAGCACCAGCCCCCCCCCAAATGAGCTGACAGTGAGTTCGAACATCTGCCCCTACGCTGTGATTTTTGTATTTGTAAATGTAAGCTTGACAGCACCAAGCCTTAATTAGTGAATACTCCCCTTGCAAGCGCTGGATCCCATATGGGCACTCGACTTGCCATCCGCCTCCCTGCCTGTGGCCTGGGAAAGCGGTCAAGAACGACCCAAAGCCTTGGGATCCTGCACCTACGTAGAACACCCAGAGGAGGCTCCTGACTCCTGGTTTCAGATCAGCTCAGCTCCTGGCCTTGGGGCCATTTGGAGAGTGAACCAGCGGATGGAAGATCGTTCTCTCTGAATCTGCCTTTCCAATGAGAACAAGTACATTAAAAATAATAATAATAATAAGCTCAAAAGAAGTGTCAAATTGACTAAATAATGTTCCAGCCCTTTCCACTCTGCCCTCACAGTGTATCCCGATATCCCAGGGACCCATCAGCAGCTGACTCTGTTCCATACCAATATAGCGTTCATCTTTGTGTCTCTTTTGGATGAACATTTTATTTTGAGACATTCTGTCTCATCCCACTAACAAGGATAAATAAGTTGTGATATATCCTTTTCAGCAAATACTGAATCAGCAGAAGAAAAAAAAAAAAAAAAGACGAAGGTGTTTGGCACAGCACTCAAGCCACCACTTGGGGGTGCCATTGCATCTGGGGGTGCTCAGGTTTGGGTCCCAGCTCCACATCCAATCTTTTTTTTTTTTTTTAAGATTTATTTTTATTATTTTTTCATTGGAAAGGCGGATATACAGAGAGGAGAGACAGAGAGGAAGATCTTCCGTCCGGTGATTCACTCCCCAAGTGAGCGCAACGGGCCGATACTATGCCGATCCGAAGCCAGGAGCCTCTTCCAGGCCTCCCACGCGGGTGCAGGTTCCCAAAGCTTTGGGCCGTCCTCGACTGCTTTCCCAGGCCACAGGCAGGGAGCTGGAAGGGAAGCGGGACTGCCGGGATTAGAACCAGCGCCCATATGGGATCCCGGGCGTGCAAGGCGAGGACCTTTAACCACTTGGCGCGGGGCCCAATCTTTTTTTTTTTTTAAATATTCATTCTAGGAGGCAACAGGTGATGGCTCACGTGCTTGGGTCCCTGTCACCAGCATGGAGGACTCCAACTGAGTGGAGTGAACCATCAGATGAAAGATCTTTCTCTGTGTCCTTCTGTCTGTAAATCTGGCTTTCCAATAAAAGTAAAGAAATCTTTAAAAGGAGAGAGAGAGAGAGAGAGTTGAAGGACTGACAAGAGGCTTGCATCTTGGGTCATTTTTAAGTGAAAAAGACCTATCAGAAAAAAGCAGAAGGTTGTAGATTACACTTCCACAAAATTGGCAGAAGAGGCACTGGAGAGATTGAAATAGACTGATGACTGCCTGAGTCTGAGGAGAAGCTGCTGAGGGGAAAGTAGTGATGAAAATGTTCTAACATTGAGAGTGGTGATGGTTGCACGACTCTATATTTTAAAATTACTGAAGGGTCTGCTTTAAGTGGATACGTTGCATGTGAATTATATCTCCCTTTATCAGCACTTAAAAAGATACCTAACGTTCAACATGTGCTAGAGGTCCGGCATAGACAATAAGACCTGACCCAGGCCTTCCCTATCCTTGGGAAAGCTGAGACTCTAGTGGTGGTAAGAAAATTAAATGGGCATTTATTATATAGGGATTTTGCCAGAGGAGCTGTAGAGATAGGAAATATTAAGACTGATTTTTTTGGCACTTCTTTTTTTTTAAGATAACGTCTCTTAAAAACATTTTTTTTTTTATTGGAAAGGCAGATTTTACAAGAGAAGGAGAGACAGAGAGAAAGATCTTCCATCTGTTGGTTCACTTTCTAAGTGGACACAACAGCCAGAGCTGAGCCAATTCAAAGCCAGGAGCTTCTTCCTGGTTTCCTATGCAGGTGCGGAGTCCCAAGGTTTTGGGCCATGCTCAGCTGCTTTCCTAGGCCACAAGCAGGGAGCTGGAAGGCAAGTGGAACATCCAGGACACAAACTGGCACCTATCTGGGATCCTGGAGTATGCAAGAGGAGGATTTAGCCACCAGGCCTCTGCACCAGGCCCTTCTGACACTCCTAAAATGCAGCAAACTCATGTCAGTTATTGTATGTGCAACATCTGAAAATTAAGTAGAGGCCAGCACTGTAGCAGAATAACTAGGCCACGCCGCTGGGCCCGTCAACTCATATATTTTTAAATTAACTAATCTTTTATTTGTTTTATTGAAAAGCCAAGAGTTCTTCCGCCCACTCATTCACTCCCCCAGATGCCCATGACAGCTGGGGCTGGGCCAGACCAAAGCCAGGAAGTCAGTCCAGGTTTCCTAGGAGCCAGGGAAGGACCTGAGTGTTGAAGTCATCTCCTGGTGCCTCCCGGGATGTACAGCATCGGGAAGCCGCAACTGGGACTCAGAGGTACTTGGCTGTGGAATGTGGACATCCGAGTGATGTCCTACCTGCTGTTCCAAACACTTGACCTTGGACTCAAGCCTCCTGAAACCCATGGCTTCATTCACTCCAGACTGGCTGCTTTGTTTTTCTCCCCAAGGCTGTTGTTCCACAACAGTCACTGAATCCCAGAGAATCTCTCTCCTTGATTCCTTTGCACCTGCTGGCCCAGGTCAGGACCTCATCACTTCCTTTGCTTCGATGGCAGAAGGCTCTGGCCTCGCCTACTTCAATCTGCTTCATTTGGCAGGCAGAGAGATGTTTCTAGAATATTAAGTAGGTTGCTGGATCTGTCACTGCCCTACTAAAACCTTCAGTAACTGCCAACGCCTTTAGGGTAAAGTTTAAAATTTGATGTGTGGGAACTTCCTTGGTGACCCCCAACCTCTTTGTTCATTCCTCTTTCACACAGGCAATCTTCATGTCAGCCAGGCGGGACTCCCTGAGGGTTCATGTTTCATCTGGCTAGAATATCCAGTTTTTCTCATACCATCTATATAGTTGAACTTTATCCTTTGCGATTTAATTTTTTCACCTGAATTAGATGTCCCTCCTCTGATCTCCTCTGTCATAGCATGTTTTCTTTCTTATTTTTAAAGATTTGTTTATTTGTACATGAAAATCAGAGTTACAGAGACACAGGAAGATAGATGAGAGAGAGAGAGACTCTTTCATCTGCTGGTTTATTCCCCAAGTGGCCACAGTGGGTGGAACTGAGCGGATCTGAAGCCCGAGGTCTCCCACATGGGGGCAGGGTCCCAAGGAGTTAAGCCATCCTTTGCTGCTTTCCCCAAGCAGAAGCAGGGAGCTGGACCACAAGCAGAACAGCCAGGGCTTGAGCTCAACCATAGGGATGCTGGAGCTGCAGGCTGAGAATTAGCATGCTACGCCATCGTTCTAGCCTCAACATATATTCTTTATATGTTGAGCCAATGATTTACACTTCTCTTTCCCTAATCGTATTGATCATGTATATAATTATATATGTATATATTTAATTATATATATACACAATAATTAAACATGCTTTGTATGCTCATCATGAGTTTTTAAGCTTATTTTTACATATTTCACAATCCAGATTTAGGAGCAAAGCTACCAGTTTAACGAAATACATTGTTTTTAAAGATTTGTTTACTTTTATTGTGAAGTCAGATATACAGAGAGGAGGAGAGACAGAGAGGAAGATCTTCCATCCAATGATTCACTCCCAAAGTGACTGCAATAGCCAGAGCTGTGCCGGTGCGAAGTCAGGAGCCAGGAACTTCCTCCAGGTCTCCCATGTTGGTGCAGGGTCCCAAGGCTTTGGGCCATTCTTGACTTTCCCAGGCCACAAGCAGGGAGCTGAATAGGTGCCGGGAATAGAACCGGTGCCCATATGGGATCCTGGCGTGTTCAAGGTGAGGACTTTAGCCACTAGGCCACGGCACTGGGCCCTCTCTCCATTTAAAATAAAATGATAATAAATAGAAATTAGGAAATATTGATAGAAGTTTTATCACGATTGTCTTCAATGTTCTTTGACATTTGAAGATCTTATTTATGTATGAATGTATTTTATTTGAAAGTCAGGGAGACAGAATGGAGAACAGACACACCCTCCTCCCACCCAAATGCCCACAAGTGCCAGGACCGAGCCAAACCAAACCTAGGAGCTGTGTGTGAAAGTCTAGCTGACCCGCATGGGTTGCAGGAACTCAGCTACTTGAGCCATCATCTTTTATTTTTTAGGAAGCTGAGACTGGAAGTGGAGCTAGAATTCAAGTTAAAAGCACTCCGACATCCCACGTGGCTCCTGAAGCGCTGTGCCCAATGCCCTTTTTTCCTTTGGTGTTTTGGGAAAGATGTTCTTCAAGAATAGGTTCATTAACAGGTTGAATAACAGGTTCATGTAATCTGGAGTGTCTCGTGATAGAAGGGTCTACCTGGTGGCTGTCATGAACGGGCAATGTGACCACTCCACATCTGGAAGTCTGATGCATTTGGGCTGATTTGCACATACACACACACACACACACACACACCAGTCCCTTGTTGCATCAGGAAAATCCCTCCATTGGGAAAGTGCTCCTTGGCAATGTTTGAGTTTTGGCAATGGGACTGTGATTTCAGAGGAAGTTGCTCTTCTGGACGCAGCTGGTAGGGTTTCACACACAATAGACCTTTATGCACAGCCTTCAATGTCAACACTCACCTAGGGTGTAGCTGTGGACTGACTGTTCAGGGTTGGAAGGATCATCTTGGATTGCACGGAGCCTCCAGTCTGAAGGCTCTTTCATGCCGCCCCGAGTGAGTGGCAGATTGGCAATGCTTTGGTAACTTGTTTGTGCGTGATAAGGAGGTGGGGTGGGAAAGGCACTTCTACAACCCAGGCCCTACCTAGTCCGTTCCCATGCGTCCGGTCAAGTGCCAAATTTTGGCTCAAAATTTACAGAACAGCTCTAAGTTGCCAGATACTAGGCTAGGTGTTAGGCACATAATTTTAATAACCCTAATAGGCGCCATGGTTCTTATAATTAACCATGACTATAAACAAGAGCTGCCGAAAGCCAGCCACGTTCCTTGCCTTGCACAGTATGGTAAAATCTGGAATTGCCGAGACTCCTAGGTCCTCCGACCTCCAATCAAAGAAGTAGGGTTGTCATAACTGTCCCAAATAGAAGGTACTGGAAACCCTTGAACAGAAAAGCGGTTACTTCTGGGGAAGGGGTCTAGCAGGCCAGGGCGCAGTGGTGAGGGGTGTATTATCTACCGTTTTGTACACACGCGTCCCTTTTTCTTGTCCCCTTCCCCCAGATTACAAGAAGATACGGTTGTAGCCCCTCCGACTGCCAACTGGGTCGCTCTACGCACAGCTTGGGGTCACCAGTATGGGTGCGTGGGGGTGAGGGCTCGGGGGTCGTGGGGTTCCCTCGGTGGGTTCCCTTGTGGGTGGGCGCCCGGAGCCCGGGGCAGGAACTGACGGCTCCCGACGCGGCTGAGCGGACATCGCTGGATGTTGCTGGGAAGCAGCTCCGGGTTGCAGGGGCGGGAACGTGCCCTTCCCCCGCTGCAAACTTTCTGTCGCTGCAACGGAAGCAGGAACTCGCTAATCACAAAACCCGCGGGGCCGGTGCGGGAGCCGGGAGGCACAGAGCGTTCCCTCCAGTCCTCGCCGGGTCCTTCCCGCCAGCACGATCCAGCTGTCCTCGCACCCGGAGGGCCCCCCAAAAGTTCCCTCGCAGCCAGGTAAAGAAGTCTTCGCCCTTCCCTCCCTCCAGATCCGCCGCTGCGCAGAGCAACCCCCTCCTTCCCTGGGGCCAAGGTTCCTCCCTCCACACCCCGAGCATCCGAAGGACTAGACCGGTACCAATAAAGGCTAATTAAGATTCTTGTGTCCCTGCAGCATCCCAGGAGGCCTCGCCAGGCAACTCCGAGGCACCTGCCTTGGATGGCACGGGCTTTGCTTTGTCATGGCAGACGCTCAACCATTCAGTGAGGGATACGTGTTTCCTTAAAAGGAAGGGGAGACTTTCCCTAATTTTCTTATTTGGATTGACTGTTGTATTCCTTATCGAGCCTGCTAATCGTCTCCTGTTCCAATAGGAACAGTTATCGCATCTTGATCGATTCGAATATGTTGCAGGTGAAATGATTTGCCACATTTGAACTAATTTTCCTGGAGCTTGTAAGTTTTGGTGATGGTTGAATAAGCAGGTCTGTCTCTCACTTGTCAATGGGATTCAGTTCCACTTTAGACTTCAATAATAATGGAGAAGGCTTTAAGGAGATAACTCAGCACTTTGAGGGGTACAAGAACGGTACAGAGGCAGAGCACAGTTGACGCCCCATTTCCTTCAGTGCTATAGGCTTCTTTGCAAAAGGTTGAGGAAAGCTTTCGGAATCTAATCAGAAAAATGAGGGAGGAGGGACGGTGGGGGGCGTTGCTGGATTTTCTCTTCAGTCCCCGCCCCTAACTCACCCCTCCCCGCCTCCAGGACCAGAATAGGCTCATCTGGTGAAGCCACTGCCAGCCAAGCCAGCATCCCATATGAGTGCAAATTCCAGGCCTGGCTGCTCCACTTCTGATCCAGCTCCCTGCGATGCACCTGGGAAAGCAGCAGAAGATGGCTCAAGAAGATGGTCCCTGGGCCCATGTGGGAGACCCAGATGAACCTTCTGGCTCGTAGCTTTGGCCTGGCCCAGCCCTGGCCATTGTGGCCGTTTTGGAAGCAAACTAGCAGATGGAAGATCTCTGTCTCTGTCCCCTCTGTGTTATAAATAAATCTTTAAAAGAAGAAGAAGCAAGACATGTAAGACACGGCAGCATTTTAAGTAAACTGTGCTAGGGTTTTCTTTTTGGTATTTTTTCTTTGTTTTCCAGAGCCAGGAGAGAGACCTTCCATCTGCTGGGTTACTGCCCCCAAAGCCTGCAACAGCCAGAGCTGGGTCTGTCTGAAACCAACCAACCCCATAAAGTTCTCTGATGCAAGGGTTCCAACTACTTAAGCCATCGCTTGCTTCCTCCCATGGCACCTGTCAGCAGGAATTGGGGTAAAGCAAGGGAGATTTGAGATTCGCATTCTATTGCTGCGTACTGATCTTGTTGTTGTTTTAAAGAACTGTGTATTTATTTGAAAGCCAGGGTTTCCGAGAGGGAGAGATGAGGAAGACCTTGTATCCACTGGTTTTCTCTGCCAAGTGGTTGCAAAAGCTGGGACTGGGCCAGGTCAAAAGCCAGGAGCCCAAAAGGTCTTTTGGATCTCCTATGTGGGTAACAGGGACCCAAGTCGTTGGGCCATTATCTCTGCCTTTCCTGGCACATTAGCAGGGAGCTAGAGCCAACGAAAAGTAGCTGGGACTTGAACTGGTAGTTGGATATGAGATGCCAGTATCCCCTGCTGCAGCTTAACGCACTACATTACCACACCGGCCCCTGCCAAGCTTTCTCCAAAGCAGCTGCGCCATTCTGCATCTGTACCCACAAAGAGGGAAAATTCCAGCTGCTCCATTGCCAGCGTCTGGAGTTTCAGCTTTTCAGAGCTTAGACATTCCAGCAGGGGGTGTGATGGTATCTTTTTGCTGTTTGAATTTGCGATTTGTAAGTGATTGAGCACTTTCTCATATACTTATTTGTTATCTGAATCTGTTCCTGGGTGAGGTAAGCTATTCACCTTGTCCATTTCTGAGTTGTTGGTTTTCTCATTCTCAAGTTTTAAGACTTGTTTGTATATTTTAGATACCAGGCCTTTGTCAGAACAGATCGATGTGTTTTACAAACATCTCCAAGTCTGAGGCTTGTCTTTTTTTCCTCTTACCAACATTTTCCATAAAGTGCAAGTTTTTAATTGTAACCAAATAAAAATTAGTTTTCTTCTTCATGGAATGTACTTTCAGTGGGATGTCTACAAAAAATCAGCAACTGAGCTAAAATCACAAAAATCTTTTTACTTTCAGCTCTGTAATGTGTGTATATGTTTGTTTAAAGATTTATTGGGCCTGGCACGGTGGCCTCGTGGCTAAAATCCTCACCTTTAACGTGCTGGGATCCCATATGGGCGCTGGTTTTAGTCCCAGCAGCCCTGCTTCCCATCCAGCTCCCTGCTTGTGGCCTGGGAAAGCAGTTGAGGATGGCCCAAAGCTTTGGGACCCTGCACCCGCGTGGGAGACCTGGAAGAAGTTTCTGGCTCCTGGCTTTGGATCAGCTCAGCTCTGGCCATTGTGGTCACTTGGGAAGTGAATTATTGGGCAGAAGATCTTCCTCTCTCTCCTCCTCTATATATATTTCTGACTTTGCAATAAAAATAAATAAATAAAAAAAAAAAAGCAGCAGTAATTCTGTTTTCATCTGCTCTGCAGTGAACACTGTGTCCTGGAAATGGGGGTGAGGATAAGGGGAGTTTCTGGTGTTAATAACTTCACATTTATTTGTGCTCAAAGAACCAGCTCACCAATGGAGTTGGTGCTACACATAATGTGAAGTCTGCTGTTAAGAGACATGTAGTAAGACCTGCTGCTCCACTTCTGATCCAGCCCCCTGCTTCTGTCTGGGAAAGCAGTGGAAGATGCCAGCTCCTTGAGCCCCTGCACCCACAGGGATATCCAGAAAGAAACTCCAGGCTCCTGCCTTTGGATTGGCTCAGCTCCCGCCACTGCAGCCATCTGGGGGAAGAAGCAGCAGATAAAAGATCTCTTTCTTACATCTGTCCCTCTCTTTGTAAATCTACCTTTCAAATAAACATAAATAAATCTTTTTTACACTTGATCTTAGCCAAAAGGCTGAGAAGCGATAGATAAATCTTTTTTTAAAAGGGTATCAAGTAGGATACATTGCCCTAAACTTTCCCTCAATTGAGCTAGAATATTCCCCCTGCTGATTGGCTAATGCCTAGAATTAGAAGATTAGAGTTATCTGTCTTGGGTTTGTTGCTTAAACAGAGGTGACAACAAAAAGGCTGCCTCAATTTCCTCATTATATATAAGACTGTTCTGTAAGCTTGCTATTATGAAAGCTTGGTGTGTATGGGTAAGTTGCTTGACCCTGTGCCTACCATATGGTAGATGGTATAGAAATCCTGGTTGTTGTTACTGAGAAAGGCAGAATACCCAAGCCTGTCAGCATCCTTTTCTCTGCAGAGTTCGAGCTAGAAACACAGACAAATCCTAACCCAGAGACCCCTGCCCCCCGCCCTGTTCCTACTTCCTCCTTAATGTTGACCGAAATATTCAGAGTCCACTTGAAAATGGAAAAGTTGACGTTTACTTAGCAGCCCCACGGAGGACTTAAACCTGGAAACAAGCAGGCCGCACTCCGGCACTCCACGAGCCTGAGTTTGGCTCCAGGTTTTACACTTTCCTTGCGGGGTGAGCACCTGCGTAGAGTCAGGTATATACAGTGCAGCTGCCTATGCAGCTGTCGAGACACAGACAACGAACACGCTAACAGCTAACAAGCTTGATTCTTTTTTTCTTTTTAAATATTTATTTATTTTTACTGGAAAGTCAGATATACAGAGAGGAGGAAAAACAGAGGGGAAGATCTTCCATCTGATGGTTCACTCCCCAAGTGACCATAACGGCCGGTGCGAAGCCAGGAGCCAGGAACTTCCTCCAGGTCTCCCACACAGGTGCAGGTTCCCATGGCTTTGGGCCATCCTAGACTGCTTTCCCAGGCCACAAGCAGGGAGCTGGATGGGAAGTGGAGCCTCTGAGATTAGAACGGCGCCCATATGGGATCCCAGTGCGTTCAAGGCGAGGATTTTAGCCATGAGGCCACCGCATCGGACCCAAGCTTGATTCTTGTTAAGAAGGTACATGACCTTCCCTGTCTTGTTCCTCCTGCTCTCTGGAATGTTCTCCAGAAGCAGGGAGAGGCGAGTGAGGGATTGTTACCCATACTTTCTACACGGCCCTAAGAGGGAATGCTCAGTCCTTATGGTGCGGTAAGGAGTTTCCTTGGTCACAGAGTTGGTTGGAAGGTCCTGTTGCCTGGCAGCCAGCTGCAGGGAGACTTCACTGTATCGGGGTCACATTCCTGGTGTTCGAGGCCTCCACTCTGCTCTCCATGCCACAGTAAGCCCTGTCAGCTCTCAATATATGCATATGCATTGTGCTTATGAGTTCTAGGTTTTTTTTTTTTTCTTTTAAGATTTATTTATTTTTTCTTCAAAGTCAGATTTTACAGAGAGAAGGAGAGACAGAGACAAAGATCTTCTTTCTGCTGGTTCACTCCTCAAGTGGCTACAACAGCTAGTGCTGTGCCAAATACGAAGCCAGGAGCCAGCGGCCTCCTCAGGTCTCCCACACGGGTGCAGGATCCCAAGGCTTTGGGCCGTCCTCGACTGCTTTCCCAGGCCACAAGCAGGGAGCTGGATGGGGAGTGGAGCCTCTGGGAGTAGAATCATCACTCATATGGGATCCCGGGCGTTCAAGGCAAGGCCTTTTGTCACTAGGCCATCACACCGAGCCCCCAAGTTTTTAATAAAGAGTTGTTTCAGACCTATAAAAAGTGAAACAACATTATGAAGTCTTTATTTCTAACCTCCAAGTTATACATTTTTTTTTTTCATTAATTCTGAAGAAGGGAGGAGTAGGCATGTCTGGCACAGTGGTTAAGGCATCATTCGGGAGGTCCAGATCCCAGACCTCTAATTCTGCTTCTTAATAATATTCTCTATGGGAGACAGCAGGTGGTAGCGTAAATCACTGTGGTACCTGCTACCCATGTGGGAGACCTAGATTGGGTTCTGGGCTTTTGGCTTCTGCCTGGTTAAGTCCAGGCAGGTACAGGCATTTGGGGAAGGAACCAGTGGGTAGTAGGACAATAAAAGAAAATGAATAAATAAAAATTCAAAAATATTTACTTGCAAGTCAGAGTTACTAATGAGAGTGCGAGAGATAGAGATTACCCATCTGCTGGTTTACTTCCCAAGACGGTCACCGTGGCCAGGCTGGGCCGGGCCGATGCTAGGATCCAGGATTTTTGTCTGAGTCTCCCAAGTGGGTAGCAGGGGTGTGAACACTTGGGCCAGCCACTGCTGCTTTCCCCAGGCCTCCGGCAGGGAGCTAGACCAGAAGTGGGACAGCCAGAAGTCAAAACACGAACCACTGCCCGTCTGGAATGCTGGTGTCACAGGCAGCTTTACCTGCTATGCTACAGTGGCAGGCCTAGAATAAATAAAATAAGATTTTTTATTCTTTCTTGGCTCACTAAAAAGAAACAAAACTCATTGACAATTTTGTTTTTGTTCAAGGAAGAAGTAATTCAATCACCGGTGCCGCCTGCTCCTTGACGACTGAGGAGGGACCGCCTTGACCTTGAAGGACGGACACTGCCCTGAGGTTTACAATGTCCGTGGGGAAAGGGCCGGGCTGGGCCTGCTCGGCCGCACTCCTGTGCTTCCTGGCTGTCAGGCTGTGCACCGGTCAGCAGTGCCTCTCCGAGAGCCTGGCAGACGTGGTCATCGACATCCAGTCATCGCTTTCGAAGGGAATCCGGGGCAATGAGCCCGTGCATGTGCAAACTCAACAAGACTGCATTAGGTCCTGCTGTTCAACAGAAAACATCTCAGGTGAATCCTAGGGGCACGCCCCTTCCTGCCCTGTGCTTTGGGGGGACTTAAGTAACTGATGGACGTGACAGGGTCATTTAGTCCAGTCACTCTCAGTGGGGTCCAAGGTGGGTGACAAAATCGCAGGAAGTTTTTCCTAAGGGTGCCCTTCTTTCATCCAAGCTGAGTGAAATTTACTGTCGAGTGTGTGTGTGTGTGTGTGTGTCTGCATGCGCATGCGCGTATGCTCCTTGGGTCACTGAGAGAAGTTTGAGAACTGCCGGTGTTCTATGCTAATAGGCATCTAGAACACAGAGGAGCAGGTGTTTTTTTTTAAGTGCTCGCCTGCCGTCATCGTGGAATGTTGAAACAGAGCCGTGTGATACTATGCGGGACATGGAGTCATGTTAAGCCCAGAAAGGGAGTTGACATAAAGAAACAAAAGCCTTAGGAAAGTCAGCCTTTGACTTTGAAACAGAAGAACCCTCCTTCTGCCCCCTGAGCCTCCCCAGGAAAAGTCAGGAAATCCATTGGCGGTGTCTGGGGATGACAAAGGGGAGTGTGGTCACTGCCACGACCGACACAGATGGAGACGCAGGCCTGTGGGTCGGAGCCAGGCCCTTGTGCACCACGGGGTTCCCACCTGCACACGCTGAAGGGAAGTGTGAGTGTGTATCCATAAAAAACAGCACTCATCATTCAGTTTTGCCTACAGATGGCCCCATCCTAGTTATGGAAGCCAACCAAACTGGACACTTCAGGTGCTAGAGATAAAGCAGTGAGTGAGAAGGCATGGAGGATCCTGCTGTCCGGGAGCCTGAGAGAGCTGCCCACTGCTGACTTGTTAGCCAGCTAAGTAAGGTGTTTACTGTTAGATCTAAGAGTTGAACTTAGAGTCTCCGTTTGCCCAGATACTCGATGTCAATTTTTGGTTGGGGATAGTTGTCCAATTTGTTCTGTCCTTCCTCTGCTATGATATCAGATGTTCTCTGCAGGCCTCAGAGGACTGCCATATCTTCTGGGCCAACTGTCTACTGCTCTGTCTTTTCCACCAAGGAGGCTCAGCTCTGACACATGAACTCCACGGTCAGACCACTAATACCGGATGTGAGACCCCAGACCCCTGCATGCCACCACCTGTGCCATCGCCAGACCCCTGCAGGTCCACACATTAAACCTCCACACAGCATGCTCCTGGGCAGCCAGTGAGCTTCTCCCAGTGCCACTGGTGCCCCGGGCTACCTCACCAGCCCTGCTGAACCTCCACCCCTGGAGTTCATGGACCTGACACCCACTGCGCAGGAGGGCAAAGAATGTGTACTTTTAATAGTCTCTGTGCTCTTTAACTTTCAACCTGGTCAGGTGTATGCTCATCTCTCTGGCCATAGACCCAGAGCTGAGAAGAAAACCAGCTCTAATGGTGGGTGTGAAGACACCTGCAACATTCAGTGTCAGAATTGCATTCAGTTCCTGGCTCTGGCTTCTGACTCCATCTTCCTGCCAATGCAGACCCCAGGTGTCACCAGAGATGGCTCAGCGATTGGCGATCTCTGTCTTCCACACGGACTATCTAGTCTGAGTTCTTGGCTTTGGGGTTGAGCCTGGCTCAGACCTGGCTATCCGAGGTATTTGGGGAGTGGACCTATGGATAGGAATATTCCATCTCTTTGTGCTTTTCTAAACAAAGTGCCTCAAACATTTTTTTGAATTAAAGAACAAAAACTGTAGACCATGATGAACACAGAAAATGAATTCTATTAAACCTAAGAAGAAGGAAAACACAAAGTGAGGGCAGGCATTCGGTACAGGGTCGAGGACGCCCGTGGGGCTGTGGAGACTTGGCTCTCGGGTCTGTTCTGATTGCAGCTTCCTGCCCGTCCCATCCTGGGAGGCAGCGGTGGTGGCCCTCATGCAGGAGACCCAGAATTCCAGGTTCTGGGCTGTGGGCTGGCCCAGCCCTGGCTGTACTGGGGGCGCAAACCAGCACGTGGAGGGTCTCTACCTCTCTTGCTCTGTCCTCATATCAATTCTTTTTTAAGTTTTAAAAATGCCACTGGATTAAATAATAATAATAATAACAATAAAAATAAAGGAAGGAAAACAGAGCAGCAAAAGTGATAAAGCAAAAGAGGAAATGTGAAGAAAAGCTCCAAGAAGCAGGCAACTGATAAGGATGCAAGGACAGAGCCCGCGCTCTGTGCGTGACTCAGACCCTTCCCGCAAACAGGCCTGACACCCTTGCTTATTAAATATTTCCCAGCTGTACTCACAGCTGCACAGATGCCTGGGACACCACCAGGGTATGAAACTCCCCGACCCAACTGGGTCAACTGGGGCCTAACTGCACAAAGAAGGCAAAGTCTGTGTTGCTACGTACACTGCGGGGGACATTTCAGCCCATGGGAGACTTGTTTCTGTTGAATTCAATGTGCTATGAGAAGCTCGTTTTGCCAACGCGTATCTTAAACGCAGAGGTTAAAACCTGATATCTCGTAAAAACGACTTGAAGCGACTGTACTAAGAGTCAGCGGTTGGCCAGCAAGGGAACAAATGAGCCGACATGTTGGTGTTGGACTCGCGAGGGGACCCACTGCTCCCTGCGGACTGTCCTCTGGCGAACGTGCTCTTGCCAACCCGTGCTGACCAAGCCTTTTCTTACAGGAGACAAAGCGTGTAACCTGATGATCTTTGACACTAGAAAAACCGCCGGGCAGCCCAACTGCTACCTGTTTTTCTGTCCCACTGCGGAAGCCTGTCCACTGAAACCAGCCCAGGGGCTTAGGAGCTACAGGATAATCCGAGGTAATGAAAGTCTTGTTCCTTTTTGTTTTGTTTGATTTTATTTTTCCTTTTACTCTTCGGCAATCGCAATTGTTTAAGGATGTGGCTTCTGGGAAAAATTTTCTGGAAGACTCCAAATAAAGCTACCTAAAAGAGGGTCACAAATACGAAGACGTGCCAGATGGCCTTAGGAGCTAAGACTCAGCTTACTAAACTAAAAAAGGCTTCTGGATGGCTTTTGTTCTGTTTTGTTTCTGTTTTTTAGTGTTCCCGGTGATGGAAGGTATAAAAACCTTGAGTGAAACATTTCTGAAGCGCTCCTTTAGATCAGCGCCAGCAACACTGGAGGAAGTGCACAGGTCTCCCGGGCGACCGTTGGCAAAGGGCTAGGCCCAATGAGGATGAATCAAATCCTAGCCTGGTTCTCATTCATGTCCCATTGTTTTACAACCACATTATCTGAAGTCAAACGCACTGGATTTTATTGTCTAGACCTTGAGGGAAATTCATTCAAGAAACATTTATGGGGGCAGCCATTTGGTTCCGTGGGCGGGACCAGATCACGTGGGTGGGACCCGAACACGTGACACTCTGTCGCACACGGCAGGGAGTTTTTCTTTCAGATCATGACGAACAGCCGTATGTTAAGCCAGCGTGCTATGTAAAATTAATTTATTTGAGAGGCAGAAAAAAGCACACATTAAAAACAAAGACCGACACCTCTCAGTAGGTTGCCCACAGAAGTGAGGCCAGGAATTCAGTCTGAGTATCCCCCATCCGTGTCAGAGGACTAGAGTCATTACCTGCTACCTCCATGGTGACCATCGGCAGGAAGCTGAGTGCGGAAGCAGAGCCAAGACGTGACCATGGGCATCCCAATGCAGGACACAGGCAGCCCAAGTCACCGTTGAGCCAAACTCCTGCCCGTTATGGAGTGTTTGAAAGGTGATTTTATAAACGAGGGAGGCCTGATGTGTCTAGTGTCCCCTTAGACAGGAGCATGAATCAGGAACTATTTGTATCAAAATGATCTATTGCTGGGGTAGATGATAGACACTGCAGCTGAATCTGGGTTGTAATTTGCCCGATTCTCCTGCCGCGTTGTTGCTTTTATAATGGATATATCAGGAAGCAGGCGGACATTTGCTGTGCCCTTTTAGATGTTCTTGGAACTCACAGCCCGTGTCAAAGTGTCTGGGTTGGGGTTCCAGCTCTGCTGCCAGCTCCTTGCCACTGCGCTCCAAGAGGCAGTGGTGAAGGCTCCGGTGGTGGCAGCCCTGTCACCCGTGTGGAACACCTGGATCGAGTCTGGTTCCTGGCTTCGATCGCAGGCATCTGGGGAATAAATCAGTGTGTAGCAGCTCTCTTTCTGCTTCTGCCCATGCAAACAGGAGAGGAGAAAATTCCATACGTGCATAAACCTTTTGAGATGTGAGGGTAATGAAATGAAATTAGAATCAAGCAGTTCTTACAGTACCCACCAGAGGGTGCCAACAGCTCACAGCAAGTTGCTAGACATCTAGTGGTTAAGTGATTCTGAATCTGCCCGTGTTGATGGGTTAGAGTACTCCACTGGAAATAAATGATATGCCTCCTGTATGGGATGAAATTAAATAAAGATACCTGCTTTTCTGAGGAACTCTGTTTCCTGTAAGTGGCAGGTTAACTTTTGTAGATTCCATGTTTGAAAGCAGAAAGCTTTGTTTACTCTACAAAATCATTGCATCTTGATACTTTTTAGTTTTTATCTTGCAACTTTGTGGGACTGAAAGGATAAAATACAGAAGTAAAATCAACTGGAAATATTTACTCAGTTGGCTAACAAAGTGATAGTTCTTCATCTAAAAAGAAAACTTTAAAAATATGTATGTACCAGGCCCAGTGCAGTAGCCTAGTGGCTAAAGTCCTCACCTTGAACGCTCTGGGATCCCATATAGGTGCCGGTTCTAATCTCAGCATCCCTGCTTCCCATTCAGCTCCCTTTTTGTAACCTGGGAAAGCAGTGGAAGATAGCCCAAAGCCCTGAGACGCTGCACCTGTGTGGGAGACCCGGAAGAGGCTCCAGGTGCCTGGCTTCAGATTGGCTCAGCTATGGCCGTTGTGGTCACTTGGGGAGTGAATCACTGGATGGAAGAACTTCTCTGTCTCTCTTTCTCTCTGTATATCTAACTTTCCAGTAAAACAAAATCAATGTTAAAAATATTTATGTACCAAAAATAAATAAATAATAATAAAAATGTATGTACATATATATCTGATAGGGCTAGGGAAAGAGAGATGGTTTATTGACTAGTTTGCTCCCCAAGAGACTGTAAGAGCCAAGGCCAGGAGAAGGTCAGGAGCTGAGAGTTCAGTCTAGACTTCCCTGGCAGGTGGCAGAGACCAGCAGGTGGCAGAAACCCACGCACTTGAGCCATGACCTGTTGCTTCCCAGGATACATATTAGCAAGACGCTGAAGCCAATGCGAAATAGCTGTAACTTGAACCAGACACTCCTGACTATTGGTGATACAAATGCTGCATCCAACACCTGTCTTGCTCCCCCTCCTATTTTGATTCAGTGAAGTCACTTGAAAATGAAATTCAGGGGCAGGCACCATGGCAGAGTAGGTTAGGCCTCTGCCTGCAAGCACCAGCTTCGCACATGACTGTCAGCTCAGGTGTCGGCTGCTCCATTTCCCCGCCGGTTCCCTGCTTGTGGCCTGGGAAAGCAGCAGAATATGGCCTAAGGCCTTGGGATCCTGCACCCACTTGGGAGACTTGGAAGAAGCTCCTGGCTCCTGGCTGCTGGCTTCAGATTGGCTCAATCCCACCCATTATGGCCATTTGGGAGTGAACCAGAGGATGGAAGATCTCTCTCTCTCTCTCTGTTAATCCTCCTTCTAATTAAAAAAAAAAAAAAAATCTTAAAAAAAGTAAAATGAAGCTTAGGCGAGGAGGAGTTGAGGGCACAGGGCTGTCTGCGGCTCCTGCTAGGTTTCCTCCCTGTGTGAGCAGGGCCGGTACCGCACTCTGGTGCACACATCTGTGAGTGAGGTGAACGGGGCAGGTGTGGAAGAGCCCTCTGCGCTTCCAGGATCTTTGCCAACAGCTGGATCACATCAAGCAATGGGACTAGCCCTGGCTTTGCTTTCTTCACAAGCTTGCATGCTTGAGAGAGAAAACAGCTGTTTTGGTGGTTCAATGACCTTAAGTGCTGGCTTCACACATCTCACAGGACACTGAAACCACCTTTATTTTTACTTTAAAATGCAGCATGTGGACTCTTCAACTTTTAACTCTTTTGGTTTGAAAAGCCGAGAGGTGGACAGAGCCCTTCCTTCCAGTGCGCCACTCCCCAAGCACTGGGGGTGGGCCAGGCTGAAGCCGGGAACCCAGCACTACCTTCAGGTCCACTCTGTGGGTGGCACGGACCCAGGACTTGGGCCATCACCTGCTGCCTCGCAGGGCATGCTCTGGCAGGGACCTGGAAGTGAAAAATGGAAGCAGAATTCAGACCCACACACTCTGATCTGTGGATATAAGTATCCCAAGTAGCCCCTTGACCGTGGTGTCAAATGCCTGCCCTGGATTCTTTTTTTAAAAAAAGTAAGTAAAAAAATGTAAATGCTGTTTCCCTTATGGTAATTTTTTGCATGTGATATCATCACTTGTAGCAAAAGATTTTTGCACACAGTTGGAGGTAAAAAGAACTATAGGCATCCACATTCTATTTTGGGACAGAGTGCAGCTGGAGCAGGCATCTGCCATCTTTCTCTGGCACGAGACAAATAGTATTTCAGGCTTTCCAGGTCAGCACTTTAGGCTTCGGGGTTCATATAGAATGTTTTCATACCAGCTCAGCCTGACCTTGTAGCAGGGGAATGAAGACAAGGTGTAAAAGCAAAAGGTTTGTACAATATGAAGAGAAAACAGAGTATCGAGACAACATACAAACAAATGAACAGGACTATTCGACAATACAACTGACATTTGAATTTCACACCATTTTCATTAGTCACAAAATATCACCTTTTTTTGATTTTTTTTAAAAACAGGTTTACTTATTTATTTGAAAGGCTGAGTGATGGAGAGAGGTCTCCCAGTCACTGGTGAGCTCCACAAATGGCGCGAACAGTTAGGGGTGGGCCAGGCTAAAGCCAGAATCCTGCAACTCCCTCTGGGTCTCCCCTAGGGGCAGCAGGAGCCCGGGCACCTGGGCCATCCTCCACTGCCCTCCCTCGCCCATCAGCATGGAGCTGGATTGGACATGAAGCAGCCAGGACTCAAACTGGCACTCAGAGATCCCAGCGTCACAGGTGCTAGTTTAAACTGCTGCCACATGACAACTGATGTCTGATTTACAACATTTAAAACTGCAGAAACCATCCTGAGCTTGCAAACTATTCAAAGACAAATGATAAGTCAGATTGGGCCATCGGACGGCAGTTGGCTGACCCCTGTCCTAAATGGATTAATAAGTAACTGTTACATAGGGCTTCTTGGGTAAGTTGTCAGATATTATAAATCTGAAGCCACCCCAGAGCTGTTTGTTTGGCAGGGGATTCGGTAAGGGAGCTTGTCATTTTAAAAAACTGGCATGGAGACGGACTGAGAAAGAAGCAAGAGAGAGAGAGAAACCCAAGAAATGCTAAGACAGTTTTTGCTCTGTCCCTTCCTGCTTGATACAGTTCTAATCTCAGGGAAGCGATTAGCCAAGCAGCAGAGTTAATATGTACAGAGCAATTCAAATTATCATTTGCCGCACCTGACGGCTTTAACAAGCCTTTCCAGTTTGCACTGTGATAAGTGCTGGGTGTGACTAAAAGCAAAATTGCATGCTTTCTCCAGCTTGAGTGGGGCCCGAGGCTGATTCAGCCACAGCAGGAGCCAGGGCCTATGTGGTCTTCCTCTTTCTCCCCCCAACCCCCACTTTCTTTTCCTTTTGTCATTTTACTTGTAAATCAGGCAGAAAGGGAGATCTATGGTCCATTGGTTCACTCCCAAAGGCCTGGCTTAAGCTAGCCTGAAACTCCAGCTGGGTTGTCAGAAGCCCATCCCAGGGTGTACACCGGGCAGAGCAGGACTTGGAACTGGAGTGCTACTCCAGCTTGGGAGTGCAGGGGGCCAAGCAGCAGTGTCCCAAATGCCTGCTTCTTTCTTCTCTTGATGTCTGCAAACATCCATCCTGCCGTCCACATGACCCTAGGGCACTGGCTGCGATAGCTTTAGGAGAATCCAGTCCCTGCAGGGTCTCCCTGCTCCCCAGTGCAGGGCGCGGGATCTGGGGTCGCATCTCACCAATCTTCAGCCATTGTCTAGTGTTCTCAGAACCGTCAGGCTCTCCTGACACCCGCTGTCCAACACACAGACTCCGCCTCTCCTCCTGAGGCCAGCGGCTCGGTTTCCCTTGCTTGCCTGCCCCATGCCCGCCTTGTGCTATCTATGCAGATACATGGTTACTTGTCCTGGTTGGCGTGCCCTGTAGGGGCACAGGCTACGCACCCGTGTTCTTGCTGCCAGACCTGCCTGCCCATTCACATCACCCTGACCCCTTGGCAACCCCATTTTCTCAGACTGCTCAACTCCGCTTTCAGCCCCGGTTCCCTTCTGTCTCAAGGAATAGCATCTGTGGGCTTCAGTGAAATTCCAAACAGGCTGATCAGTTTGCATCTTTTTTTTTTTTTTTTTTTTTTTACGATTTATTGATTTTTCAGTTTGCATCTCTTAACCTGCCTTTGCATGGAGCTATATGTTCAGTCCCCACCCCCCGCATTCTGTTCTTTTTGCATCCAGATTCTCCGACTCCGACTCCGGTTAAACCTGAAGTGCCAAGACCAGAACCGGCGGGAGAAGATGCTCTCATCCACGGCCACTGGCCACAGACGGCCGCCCCTACACTGCTCTCTCCAACCCTGGGTCATTCCAGGTCCACGGATCTCTCAAGGAGCCCGGGCCGCTTGGAAAAACTTAAGATGGTGCAAGAGGAACCGGCCAACCAAGAAAATGGCCGAATTCAGAATTCCACATTTTCCTCACAACAAGAAACGGCTATGCTCCTTCTAGAGAAGATGGCTCTGCTCACAGCCACCCCGGCAGCGGCTTCTCCTAGCGCCACCTGGGCGACTGCGGAGCCCACGGCTCTCGTGTCCACAGTGGTCCCTTCCGTGGCGCCGCGGGGAACCCCCGGCCCCTCTCTGCCTCACACCACCCCCGTTTCCACAGGCGCACCCCGCACTCTGACCCGGATCACGCCTCCCACCGCCATCTTCCAGGCCTCCACAAGGTCAGGAGAAGCCTTCAAAACGAGGTCACAAGGCGCCCTCAGCACACGGTCACAAGATGGCCCCAGCACAGCGCCTGCTGGGGAAGTGGCCGCCACCCGCAGCGCGGCGCCCCTGGACCCTGTGCAGGACGCCGCCCCTCTGGCGCCATCACTCAGCGCCACCGCTGAGGTCTCCTCGGTATCCTCGGAAGGCAGAGATGGCGATGACGGTCCCAGGGCTGGCAGCCTCTCGCGTCCACCACCCACTGGGCTCCCCGAAGGCCGAGGCCGCCTTCCCTTTGAAAAATGGCTTCTGCTTGGGACCCTGCTGCTGGGGGTTCTCTTCCTGGTGATAGGCCTGGCGCTCCTGGGCAGAATTGTTGCGGATTCCCTCCGGCGGAAACGCTACTCCAGACTGGATTATCTCATCAACGGTATCTACGTGGACCTCTGAGGGCGAAACTCTCTGTGAGAAACCGGCTGCCCTCAGATCTCAGCAGCAGGTTGTTTTTCTGAAACAAGAAAATACCTTCCTAGCACTGGCTTGTGGTTCACTTTTTGAGGGTTTAAGAAGTGGTCAAAAGGGACAAAGTGAGGTCATTTGAATGGTTCTAGAATGTCAGCTGAAAAATAAAGCTCTGTCTTCAGAAATAAATGATCTTACTGGAAAATCCAACTGAACGCAAGCAAAAAATAAAAAGACGTCAAGATGGCAATCTGTTCCTATTTCTGGTTCCAGATAAAATTGTTTTTTATGATATTAGCTCTAATGGATTCACTTTCCTTTTTCTATGGATTCCAATAAAATCTTTTCCAAATGTATTTCCTTCCAATGAAATATTTGAATAAATCTTTTGTTAGTACTGTTTTTTATAAGTGACACATCCAACTGGATAATTTTCAATTTATTCCCATCAGCAAAATGATTAAATAATGAAAATATGTGTTCCAAGATAAAATGACACTCATTCCCCCTTCCCCCCACTCCCTCCCCCAGCCACCCAGCACTTCCCATCATTGAGCAAAGAGACTCCTTTGGGGGAATTTTAGCAGACTGTTCCCCTGCATGGCGAAAATGATAAAGCAGTTCTTATAAATGACCAAATCTGCTTGGGTCTGTTCTACTTTTCTTTATTTCTGCTTCTTCTTTTTTTTAATATTAAAGACAATATAAAACCTTGCAGTGGGTTTTAAATGTACCAGGATCTGGGAAGGCATTCTGGTTTTGTAGGTTAAGCTGCTGCTTGTACTGCCTGCATCTCTGTCCAAGTGCTGGTTCCAGTTCCAGCTACTCTGCTTTCGATCCAGTTGCTTGCTGATACACCTGGGAAGGATGCAGGAGGCCCAAGGATGGTCCCTGCAGTCACATTGGAGACCAGGATGGAGGAGTTCCAGGCTCCCCTGGCCTGGCCCGGCCCCAGCTTTTTCAGGCTCCAAGGAGGCAATGAACCAGGCAATGGAAGCTCTCTACCACTCTCTTTTAATCTCTCTATATTACTCTACCTTTTTAGTGAGTATTTAAATGTACCAATATTAACTGTAAATCTTTGTCTAAATTTATCCAGCAGTCATTTTTAGCAATTGAAATAGCACTGAAAGTAATACATAATACTGAGTGTGTTGTAATTTTTACTGGAATGTTCTTGACATTTCTGGAAAAAGTGCTTTTAGAGTGCAGAGAGTGCCAGCCATGTTACAGGTGGGATAACTTAGCAAGTTCAGAAAGCTTCCTGGAGCAGTTGAATGCCTTGTCCTGTGGATCTGCATTTTTTGATCTGCAGAAGACAAAGTCAACAGATTTTTTTTTTTTTAATTTGAAAGGCAGATTTATCGAGAGAGAGAGATACAAAGAGATCATTCATTTGCTGATTAGCTCCCCAAATGGCCAGGACAACCAGAGCTTAGCTCAAAACTGACTTCAAACGGGCACCCATAGAGGATGCTGGCACTGAAGGTGGAGGCTTAACGCACTATGCCACAGCGCTAGTCCCTGTCAACAAGGTAAAAGTAGACTTAATATGTTGCCTTAACATTTTTAGAAATGCCGTAAACCCTATTATGTGCATTAGGCGCTGCAATAGGAGATAGTGTACAATGCTAATAAAAACCCATGCGTTGTATTTTGATTTAAACAATAAATAAATAACTTCAGGCCAAAACTTTGAACAGTGAGCACCAGAGGGCAGTAGCTGGTTAATAGGGACGGCGCCAAAGAGCAGGGCAAGAAAGCGCTGGAAGCTGTGTTTATTTCTCCTTTCTCTTCATGTCCTCCACACTCCTGGCATCTCTCCCCACTCCACTGGTTTGTAATTAAGAGCGTCAAGCACACTGAGCGCAAAGCTGGCCTATTGAAAATACTTTGATATATTTTCCAACCTAACAACTCGATACAAATCCCTGGGAGAGGGTGCTTACAGAACCTTTACATAGGTTGAATAATAAAACTTTGAGTCTTCTAATTTAATTTGATTCATATTTATTAAATAGCCATATGTACTCCAAACTCAGGTTAGAGACCACCTGCCTGGGAATGAAGAAAATGTCTGCTATTGGAGTGTAGTGGGTAAAGCTGCTTACCACACAGGCAGCCCATGTAACACCAGTTCATGTTCCAGCTGCTCCACTTCTGCTCCAGCTCCCCTGTAATATGGCTGGGAAAGCAGCAGAGAACGGTCTAAAAGTTGAGCCTCTGCCAGCCTCCTGGGAAGCTTGGATGGGGTTTGATGATCCTGGCCTCAACCTGGCCTAGATATGAACTGGAAGTTGGAGGACCTCTGCTCTGTAACTCTGCCTCTCAAATTAACTAAAATGATTCTTTTAAAAAAAATCTCTTTGTTAATGGATCTGGCTGGTGGAAATAAGTTGTTCTGTGAGTGTTTGTAAAAGCGGTCTCTAGGTCTCTTATGGTTCTCTGTGTATCTTGCTGCTGGAGGAGCAGATAGAAAGCTAGGGCTCTCAGTGAATAGGAGGAGAGAGACCCTGACACCAGATTCTGGTGAGGCTTCGGGGATGGAGGGCAACATCTGGGCTTAAGACTTCCTTCTGGAGTGCAGAGAGCAGCTTTTCTCACATTGTTCTGTCTGCTTGGTACCTTTAACTCCGTGGGTGAGGCTGCTGGAAGGGCAAGCAAGGAAAGAAATAATGCCTGCATTCACACTGAGTCAGCCTCAACAGTGCCCAGGCTAGCCTTGCTTTACAATAGCGTGCATTGAGTTAGAAACCCTTTCCTTCAGTTTCATGCGGAGGGAAGAAACAGCTTAGAGTGTTTGAGAGGAACAGGCTTTGCTGTGCAGTAGGTTCTGCAGCCTGCAATGCCAGCATCCCATATTGGAATACAGGTTTGAGCCCTGCTCCACTTTCAGTCCAACTTTCTGTTGATGCACATGAGAAAGTGGTTGATAATGGTCCAGTTACCTGGGGTCCCGAGTTAGTTCCTGACTTGGGTCTGGCCCAGTCCTGGCCATCGTGCTATTTGAGGAATGAACCAATTGCTCTGCCTGTCAAACAAGTATCCATTTTTTCCCTTAAAAAGTAAAACAAAACAAACAAACAACAACAACAACAGAAAAACAGATGATGAGTGAGAAAGTTCCCCATGCTCAAAAAACCCCTTCCCAGGGGTAGGCATTGGCACAGCAGATCGGATACCAGTTAGGTTAGGGTGCCTATATCCCATATCAGAATGTCTGGGTTTAGGTTCTGGCTCTGCTTTCAATTCCAGCTTCCTGTTAATGCACATCAGGAGTAGTGATAGGCAATGACTCAGTATTTACTATCTAGCTTGAGTACCCAGATCCCACCTTCACCTGTGCCCAGCCTCAGCTGTTGCAAGCCCTTCCAAACTTCAGCTTTGAAAGGAATAAACCTCATTATGAACTGGTCGGTCCCAGGCATTCCCTAACTGGTTTCTCCTTCCTCTGTTCCCACATCATGCATTCCCTTCATCCACACGCAGGGTAAGGCACACCACATGAGACATGGCACTCTATGCTTCACATTCTGTCTCCCGTGCCTTACCTGAGATTACCAACTAAATGGAGCATACCAACACTCCTCAGGTGCTAGCCCCAACCCAACCGCCTGCGTGTCCGCCTTACTACCCACAAAAAAACTGGGCAGTAGCTACACAGCTCTCCTGCATGTCTCCAATATGCCAGACACTTGGATGACCCTCGTGATTTCCTCTGCTTGTAATTGCTCTTCATCATCTCCACCTGGTGAGATTCCACTCCTCCTTCAAGACCCAGTTCAAACATCACTCCTACTGTGGTCCTTGCAGATGCTCTTGGGAGAGGGCTAGTCCGCCTGGATTTCTGACTCAGCTCCTGACTTATAACATTGGCGAAACATTTCCATGGTGTCTTCAAACACATCGGTTTATATATCACACAGCTAGACTGTGATACGTGAGACAGCAGCGTTTCTGTTATTCCCCCGTGCTTAATAGCATGTCTGGCACATAGAAGACACCCTATAAATGATCACAAGTGAATTTGAGAGCCTGCTTATGGAAGGTTACCCCTTTCAGCAATGGAAAGTGATGTGACAAGATGTGTAGCTAACTGCTTCTATATCAGGACGAAGAAACCCAGGCAAGGCCCCAGTTACGTACATTTTTTTAGGAGTATGGGATAAAATCCAGGTGCACAGCAATGAAGTGTGTGCTCTCATTTTAACGAAGACCATGTGCCGAGGGATCAGCAGACAATCGTTTTCATTTTATTTAAATCTCTCTGCTGCTTGAGTTAATGCAGTTTACTCAGCCTATAGAGAGGGTGAACTGGCAGAATCTGTGTGTTTGTGTGTGTGTATACCCTTACACTTCTTTGCAAGTTTTAATGTGATTTTTAAGGCACTTCTAGAACCATAAAAGCACTCGATATCTAAGTGGTTTGTTCCAAATTTCTCATGTCAGTTAATAATAGAGTCCAAAGTATAAGTGAGGGCTCCCGCTGTGCGGTTCAGTATCCTCCCACCACACTGTACCCTAGGGAGCAGGGATATGCTGTCCCTAACACACTTGCCAGTACATATCCACACACTGGGGAGGTGAGGCGCTCATTTAAAAAAATATATTTATTTTTTGAAGAACAGAGTTATAAAGCAAGAGAGGAAGAGAGATCTTGCATCAGTTGGTTTACTCCCCAGATGGCTATAGCAACTGGAGCTGGAACAGTTTGAAGCCAGGAGCCAGGAACTTTATCTGGGTCTCCCACATAGATGCAGGATCCCAAGAACACGGGCCATCCTTTGCTGCTTTCCTAGACCATTAGCAGGAAGCCAGGATTTCAACTGAAGAATGCCACAGCACCGGCCTCAAGGGCCTACTTTTGAGTTTCACACATTGTTCTGTATTATATAATCCATAGAGTGTTTAGTAAGGAACTATGTTGTTTTGTTTTGTTTTGTTTTTTTCCTCTTGGTTCTCGATGAGAGAAAGAGCCATTTACATTTAAGTCAAAGAAAATGAAGATCAACATTGTGGCATAGCTGGTTAAGCCACCTCCTGTGACAGAGACATCTTGCAGCCACCTGCTGGTTTAAATCCTGACAGCTCCTCTTTGGATCCAGCTCCCTGCTAATGCACGTGGAAGGCAGTAGAATCTAACCCAAGTCCTGGGGCTC